GGCACCATCAGCTTTCTTCGCCACATTTGCTTTTGCACTCATTTGTCTTCAGCGATCGTATCATGGAGGTGAGCACACAATGATATAATTTTTGTTCTTTGATGCCTGATAACTGATCCCTTCAGCACCCTGTGATCACACAGACTGGTGTGTTCTTCCATGTGGGCTCCGTTGCTTCTGAGCTAGACGGCCACTTGTCTACACAAAATCTATCTTTTTATAGCACTCATAAGGATAAAATCATCTCTAAGTCTGCTAACGTATTGCGATGTATTATCCATTTGATTCCACAGTATATAGTCACGCTGTAGGACGTAAGTCCAGAAGAAGCAGGAATTTTAATTGGTTGGGGAATCACTTGCCATACAATCTGGTTCAAGTCATTCTTTCAAATAAAAAAATGAGGATCTTGTTCATATGAATACATAGAAAGTGCACAGAGATCAAAGAGAGATGTAATAAAAGGGAAGCTTTTAGTAGAAGGTTTTCAGAATGAAAATAATGTTAGGGTTCTCCATGCTCCACTGAATTCATGCATGGTAGAGAAACAGTCTTCTAAAATATTGGATGTAGCTAAAGACAGACCAAAGAAAAGACTCTGAAACTTGTCTTTGAAGGTAGAGGAACTAAAATGAATGGAAGAAGTGATGAAGTAAAAGAATTGTGGTAGCCTGGGTTCTCTAAAGGAGTAAAAGCGGTGACTTTAAGTGCATATAGAAGAATCCTTTCTCTTTGTATATTGCTGTTGCTGTTGTCATTGCTGTTAATGTTGCTGGGGGCCACACAGGTGTATGAGACTCAGACGACTCCACACATAACAGAACGAAACAGCACACGCATCTGCGCCATCCTCCCAATTGGCCTATGCCTGCGCCCATTGTTGCAGCCATGGTGTCCATCCAAGGGCCTTCCTCTCTTTCATGGCCCTTCCACTTTACCAAGCATGCCGTCCTTCTTCAAATACTGCCTTCTCCTGATGCCCGTCCCGAATATGTAAGATGAAGTCTCTCCATGATTGTGTTCAAGGAGCACTCTGGCCTTACTTCTTCCAAGACAGATGAGTTTGTCCTTTTAGCAGTCCCTAGTACTCTCAATATTATTCTCCAGCACCATAGTTCAAATGCTTCGATTCTTCTTTGGTCTTCCTTATTCAATGTCCAGGTTTCATATGCACGTGAGGCAATTAAAAATACCCTGGCTTGGGTCAGGCACATCTTAGTGCCCAAATAACAGCATTGCTCTTCAATACTCTAAAGAGGTCTTGTGCAGCAGATTTGCCTAGTGCAACAAGTCTTTTGATCTCTTGACTACTGCTTCCATGAGCCATTGATGGTTGGTCCAAGCAGGACAAAATCTTTGACAACTTCAATCTTTTCTCCATTTGTCATGATGTTACTTATCGGTCCAGTTGTGAGGAGTCTGGTCTTCCTTACAGAGTTGTAATCCATACTTGAAGGCTGCACTTCTCAATCTGCATCAGCAGCTGCTTCAGCAAATTTCCTTCAGCAAGCAAGTTTGTGTATCTGCATTTCACAGGTTAATAAGTCTTCCCTCGGGCCTGATGCCACATTCTTCTTCATACAAGCCAGCTTCTCTGATGATCTGTTCAGCGTACAGATTGAACAAGTATGGCACAGGCTACAGCCATCATTTATTTTTCCTGATTTTATACCATGTTGTATTCCCTTGTTCTGTTTGCACAGCTGTCTCTTGACCCACATACAAGTTCTACAGAAGCTCCATGAAGTGTTTTGGAATTTCCATTATTTTCCAGGTTATCCCCAGTTTGTTATAATCTACACGGTGCAATGCCTTGGTATGGTTAATAAAATACAAGTAAACACTTTCTGGTATTCTCTGCTTTCAGCCATGTTCTAGCTGACATTAGTAACAATATTCCTTGTTCCACATCCTCTTCTGAATCTGGCATGAAATTCTGGTAGGCCCCTGTCAATGGATTGTGCAACCACTGATTATACCTCAGCTGAAGTCTGCAAGTTTGGCAGTTTGAAACCACCAGCTGATCTGCAGGAGAAAGACTGGTCTTTATTCCTCCATAAACAGTCTCAGAATCTCACAGGGACAGTTCCACCCTATCCTGTAGGGTCACCCTGAGTTGGCATTGACTCGATGGCAGTGTGTTTGATTTGGTTTGGTTTTTTTATATACCTGATATCAATGCTACCTTGTTTATATCTTCTTCAGCCTTTAAATTTAAGTTCAAATACATGATCACATCTCTCCTCAGCATCTCATAGCATAATATACAATGGTCATCTTTTGCTTTAAAAATTAAAAATTTGTTAATATTGAGTATACAACTAAACATGCACTAGTTTAACAGTTTCTACATGCACAATGCCGTGACACTGGTTATCTTCCTAGTTATACAACAATTGTCCTTCCTTTTCCAAGTTGTTTTTCTTCCATTCATGTACACTGTCCCTACTGTTCCTATGTAATGTGTGGCTTGCTTTTGTCTATTTAATTTCACAAAAATAGTTTAATGCTCACTGCAGACACTTCTTACTAGTTAAGCTACTTCTGTTTTGACTTCAAAAGACATCAGGGGACATTTTTCATTTAAGGTTTAAAAATAATCTCAAAACAACAATTTCAGCACCTGTGTTTCCAGAAATTTGAAGATGATTAGAAATTTTCATTTATTTATTTAATATTTTCCAACTCAGAGTAGCCCTATAGGACAGAATATATTTGCCAATAGTGTTTTCTATGCTATAATCTTGGAGTCCTGGTGGCATTGTGGTTATATGTTGACTGCAAGGGCAAGGTCAGCAGTTCAAAAGCACTAGCCAATTCCAAGGGAGAAAGATGAAGCTTTCTGTTCCTATACAGTTACTGGAAACACACAGGGCCAGTTCTCCCTTGTCCTGTAGGATCACCATGAGTCAGAATCGAGTCGTTGGCAGTAAATTGAGAGATGGTCCTCTTCACCACAGCAGGTTGCCAAATCTCTTCGCTCAGGGAGCAGATGATGTGTTAGAATGACCACACTGCTTAACCATTGCATCACCAGCATTCATTTGTCTTCATCCTGGACCTGTTTTCAGGTTTATTACTTTCAGTTTAAATATAAGCTTCTTTACTCAGTTCTATCAGTGAGAAATGAAATCACACACAAGGGCATCAGGAAATAGAGCATTCCGTTTTAAATGCTTCATTAACATTGACTTTAGTATCCTTTCAAGATGAATTATTCAAGTTAGCAGTCTGATTTGGTCTGTTAGAACATTAAACACTTTTCAAATTTCACAAAACAGGGTAGGGTATAGACCAGGACTGGTTGCACTTTCATGTTTTCGCAGAGCGGTCACAGACAGCACGGCGCTTCATAAGAACTTCCACTGCTGCTTTACGGCCGCAGCACTGGGCAGGGGAGAGGAAGATAGCACTGAGAGAAATGCCAAGGCAATTGCATGCAAACGCAGTCCAGGAAGCTGCAGGTAGGAACACACTACAGAAAATCTCCCAATGTGAACAATGTATCATAGTGATCGTGCTGCAAAATCGGGGTTATTGAAGTTAACAGCTAAATTCATGGGTTTTTGTTTGTTTGTGTGTGTGCGGGTGTAACTGAAATTACAGACATTTAACTATCACCTCTGCACTGACTCATTTTCCAACTCATTTATCTGTATATTTACCAGAAAATTTTGTAATAGACGGTTGGTTTTGTTTCCTACTCTGTTACTTAAAAATTTTTAACCCCCTTTAATAATTAAAAAATGAGGAGCACTTGTATACACAGCTTAACAAAAAGATCATTAACTTAGATTCCTGAATTAGGAATGAAAGAAAGGGGTTGCTTTAAATTCAACAACAAAAGCACAATGGACTTAGACAGATAGAAATGATGGTTTTGTAACATCTACTTTAAGACCAGAGTCAATAGATTGATTTTTTTTTCACGAGCTATTTTAGTTCATTGGAGTATATTTCATAGCCAGGATGATGTGTTTGGCACTGATTCCACACATATCCAACGGTTCACTAATTTTCCCACTTTGAGGCATTCCTGACACTGCTCGCTGATGAACAAGGATGTCGGGGTCCCGAGAGACAGCTACACATGAAACAGTTACCCCGCAGTGGGAACCAGTAATGGTTTTTGAGATCGCTCCCATGGGGATCTGATCAAACCCTCGGGTCAAAAAGGCAGCGAAGGAATTAGCAAAAGCAATGGTTCCACCACGGGTAGCACTGCCCAAAGCACACCACGTTTCGCTCAGCAACAAAGCATTCAACAAACCTCCCAGGGTGTTCGTTCTTGAAAAACTCTGATAAAGTGGAGTTCTTCGTGTCACTATCCAGGACAATGACTCTCATTTGCGTGGACCAGTTAAGCCAGAGCCAAACCACAGGCTTTCAGAGTAGCTATCTTGTTGCCAACTTGGTAAGTAGGTAGAGAAGTCATTTTTATGTCTGAGATGTTATATATGGGGAGTCTCCAATGAGGGGTTTCGGTAGGAGTCTCTGGCTGGTCTGTATCTGGCTCTCCATTAAATTGACACTTGCATCTGCTCTCTCTTTTGGAGTTAGCTTTCCATGCCAATTTTCTGTATTCTCAATATTTGGAATACCCTGACTTTTGACGTCCTTGGCCATAATTGCAGTGGGCTTACTCCATTTGAGGTGCTTGCCAAAAGGCCTAGCACAACCCCTCCCCATGACGGCCATCCACTATGGAGGGATTCCACCCAAAAGCTTCACAACGCTGCTGAGAGATGTCAGTGCACTGCTCAAATGGCGCAACACCACTTTGTCCCAAGCGGTTCACGTCAACGACGGCTACGAGATTGTCCAAACTGTAGGGGGAAGTGAAGGACCAAGCCTCCCACATGGAGCCTTCTGAAGATTTGCCGTGCCCCATGAGGCAGCACACCTCACAGCAGGCCTTGTCAAAGTACTTGGCAGTATATGCCATTGTTGCTACATCAGCAAACTAGTTTAAGGGTGGGGTGCCCCATCCAGGTGACAGTCAATTTTCCGCCAGCTCAGTAGGTCTCATTCTCAGATGCCACCAGACTGCCAGAGCAAGGGACAGAATAGAGGCAGCATGGTCCTTAGAGAAGATGAATGGTCGTTGTCCGGGTGTCCTGGCTCCGTCTGTTTATACCGCATTGTGTGGAAGAACAGCAGGATTCCTGCTGCACGAGGTGGGGTGGCCAGAGCTCGAACACTGGTGGCCCTAGGGGCGTGGACCGGAGGCGGTTGGCCTGGTCTGGGAGCACCTGGTTGGCCCTCCCACCGGCTTGCTGTCCTTTTCCATGGCGGCTCACAAGGCTCCACTCAGTGCAAATACCGTCCCGACACTGCGGACACGGGATGCCACGCCCGCCCCAGCCCTACTGGTGAAAAACCAGCAAGGTCACAGAGGAGCCTGAGTTAGAACTAGGAACGAGTGAGCATGCGCAGTACTCACCCCGACCTGCCTCCTTCTAAAAGAAGTTCGGAGTTGGGCCCGCTGGTCCAGCCCCCTGGCCTGCTGAGGGCTGGGCGCTGACTTCCTGCTGTCCCGCAGTCCCTCCTCCCACCAATTCTTAATAGTATTCTATCACGGGCTTAATAGTTCATTAAAAAAAAAAATTCACTGCCGTGGAATGATTCTGAACCTAAAGGACAGAGTTTTACTGCTCTGTAAATCTTTATGTATCCATAAATCCATTTTTAATGACAATTCATAACCTTTGTCTTCTAGAAGAGTTCCATGGCACATCCAGAAGCTCCCATGGATGCTAACGGCCAAGTCGGCAGCGCACCGCCCAATACCTAACCAGGGCTCCTCCTTTGTTCAACGGTTCTTTGCCAAGTCCTGAGTAAAACCATTCCTTCTAGCTTTCCTCGTGCTGTTTATACATTTGATAACTTTTATAGCATGAAGAAATCTAGAAAGCTTTTATAGCATAGATTCTAAATGAAGATATCCTTACATCTATGTATATTCTTTTTATTTTACATCCATTAACTAAAAATACCAAGACATCTTTGTATTGTCGAACATTGATGCAAGCATTCAACGAAAGCACTTTAAATCTAATCAATTCATCAAATTAAAACAACAGAAACCTTCTGAAACAGAAAATTGTGAATCTCAAATATAATGACTCATTTGACCCAAAGTGGCAGAGAGACAAATCTACACCCACTCACGGGCCAGATGTCTAGAACTAGAGTTTTGTGGTGCCCCCACCTCCAAGTTTAATCACAAATAATCATTTTTAAATTAAAATGCATTTACTAACTTTGACTTAAAATTGAATTTGTGCCATTGATCTCTTCTAGAAGACAAAGGTTATAAATTGTCACTGAAACAAAATAATGACAGTATATTCTCTCCCAAGTTGGGATGTTAGATATCTTGTTCTTGGGCAGTAATTCTTAACCCTAACTTCACATTAAAATCATGACCCCTAAAAGAATGATCAGTGCCTGTGATCCAACCTCAGACAAATTAAACTTGAGTAGCTGAGGATAGAGTTGGGGGAGTTCTTTTATTCTAATGCATAGTCAACAGAAATCCTTGAGACAGATTTAGATCTGTGACTTTCAACATTAGCAATACTTTAGAATCATTTGGGGAGGTTTTTAAATCTCATGTCTCTGTCACAGACCAAGCCAACTAATTGAGAAATTCTGAGGTATAGATCAAGACATTGGTTTCAAAACTACTTATATAATTTCAACGTTTGGTGGGCAAGGCTGTGAACAACTAAGTTAGGGGGTCTTGCTACATTTATTAGTTTTGTCGTTTTTATTATGTGTAATGCCATATCTCAGAAATCATTTAAGAATTTGTTTGCTATTTGAACTATCTATCATTTTAATTTTTAAAAACACATATTGGACTGTACCATACCATAATGGTATGACTCTAACAACATGTAAAGACTTGCGGAAAGAATGTTGGAGTTCGATGAGAATGATGAGGGCAATGAATGTACAAATGTGCTTCACACAATTGACGTATGCATGGATTGTTCTAAGAGTTGTATGATCCCCTAATAGAATGATTTAAAAAAATGTTGGAGTTGGAAAATCTGTGAGAAGCCATTTTTAATCAACCCCCATAAACAAAAACAAAACAAAACATTTACATTGAAAACCCAAACTCACTGCCACCAAGGAAAACCCCCTGCTCCTTGCAAATCAGTGTTTAATTATCTCCTTACTGGCACTGTGGTTGGTGGTTCAAACCCACAAATTGTTCTGTTCGAGAATGATGAGGCAGCCTACTCTCTTAAATGGTTGCAATTTTGGAAACCCTATACAGTCTATACTGTTGATAGGGAGACCATCTACCTTTACTTGCTGACGATGAAGATGACGTAATCGAAGGGCTTTTAAGGAAAGTTAAGACCGCAGCTCAGTGTGGGCCGCACCTGCACATAAAGACCATACTGAATAGCTTCACCACTGAACAGATGACAACGGTGTAATAAATGGAGAGAAACAAACAAAGTTCCAAGAATTTCATTCTACTTGAATTACAAATGTCCCCGGCAGCAGTCTTCAAGAAATCTCAAGACAACACACAGATGAAATCTGTTGCAAAATACCTCTTTAACACGGAAGGAGCCAATATTGCACTTCACTTTTCTCAAGTGCATGTGAAAACTAGATGCTGAACAAAGGAAGGCAGAAGAGGTGCTTCATTTGAATCGCCCTGTTGCATAGAATACAGGATACAGCATGACTGCCAAAGGACACATTTGTCCCAGGAAAAAATAAGAACCTAGCATATTCCTTAGAAGTAAGGGTGATGAGATGTGGGCTCACTCACTGTGGGCACATTATCATGAATAGCAAATTACTAGTAAAGGACACCATGTTTAGTACAGTAGAGGGTCAGCAAACATGAGGACCACCCTTACTGACATGGATTGACACAGTAGCCCCAACCGTGCACTCAAATATATCACAGATCATGGAGACAGCCTAGGGCTGGGCGGCGTTTTGCTCATGCATTGTGCATGTGCACAATGTCGCCCAAGCCTGTGCTGTGATGTTGTTATGAATCAGAGCCAACACACAGTAACTAACAACAGCAACATATTTTCACCATATAGTTTTTTTTTCCTTAATACTAATACGGAAAAATATTTCTTGGAGTACAGACTATAAATGAAAGTAAAATCTAGCAGAATCACCCATTCAAGTAGCTATGAGAAAAAATTATAAATCTCTGGACCCTGTTAGTGCAATCGAAGAAAAGATGCATTTGGTATTGGAACAGAATGCTGACTATATCTGGATTGCCAGAGGAATGAACAGATCTGTATTGGAAGCAGTAGAGTCAGAATATTCCTTGAACGCCATCATGACGAAACTTGGTCTCCGATACTTTGTACATGTCATCAGAAGCGTTCAGTCCCTCCAGAAGGGCTTTGTGCCTGGCTGAAACAGAAGTCTCTCAAAATGAATCCACCTGGTTGCTGCAACGATGGGGTCCACCACAGCGACGGTCTGAGGATGAGGCAGGTGAGTCATACTGTTTTGCAAGAGGCAGACTGATCCCACAGTACCTAACAACCTACAACCTACAAACACAGTACCTGACAACCATCCAAGCAGAGGAACATAACACACATGTACAGAGTCACGAATCGGGAGGCCTACACCAATTAGAAGAAGAAAGAAAATGTTTTGAAAATGACGATGGCAAAAAAAAAAAAAGAAAACCAATTACCCATAGAAGAATAAATTAAAAGAAAAAAATTTTTAAAAAGAAAGAAAAACCTGTAAATAGATCAAGTTCTGATTTTTGATCTCTAGGCGTGTCCGTCAGTCAGGACCAATGGGGTACCATGCTCTGGCCCCAGAGTCTGTCCTTTGTACTCCCTCGGGGGCTCCCTGTTCTAGCTCCCACGGTTGTTCTGCTGCATGCCTTTAATGGTTTACCTCGGTGTCGCGGGGTCGGTCCCGACACTGAGTCTCCAGTGTTGTTCCCCTTAGGGCCCTGGGCCAGCAAGGGATGGCGTGTCTCATAATGGGATCAACCATTATGGTCCACTCTGTGCCTTGGCTGTTCAGAGGATTTTAAAAAAAGAAAAAGAAAATGATGATGGCAACATATGTACAAAGGTGCTCGACACAATGTATGTGTATATGGATTTTGGTAAGAGTATACGAGCCCCAATAAAATAATAATAATTAAAAAAGAATTGAGGGCACTGAAGTTCCAGATGCATCTAAACTACTGAATTTGGTTTAAATGGAACTAGCCTTGTGTATAAAGATAGACACAGGTGCTGTAGCCATGTTTTTCTTCCATTGCTCAAGTTTGGTTACTTTAGTCAACTGAATATGGGGCAAATGGAGGTATGATTCTAGTAGTTTGTGTAAATTTCTTCTGTGTGCATTGGGGAGGGGTCCTCTATCTTGTTATATTATTACTGTGAAAATCACACCAGCTACTATTACTGCCCATTTTGCACTTTTCTCAGCTTATAGCCCCCTTACCTGAAGGAGACAGTAACATAGTTGGGAAAGGTAGGCCATTCTCCCAACCCCAGCAGATAAGTTGCATTTGATCTAAGACCCAGTAGCCCTTGTGCCCATTTCTACTCACCATGACCCCATGTGAACCAGAGGAGAAAGACACTCTTATGGCTGATGCTTTTGAAGTAAACTGTCACAAGGTGGACTAGACCTGCTAGTGTTGGGTTACCATTTGCATGGCACCACACAGAGCCACCTCACTCATAACCAGGGTCTGCAAAGGCCCCGGTTCTGATCTATAAAATGAAAGCAGTGAACTTATTTGATGGGAATAATTTTTGATGGAAGTTGTTGTTGTTTTCTTTGATGAAATAAGAGTGCGTAGTAAGGATAGTCTTTTTTTTAATCCCTCTAACACCACCACCAAACTCTAAGGAGTGCAAAGGGACTGAGTGCTCAGCTAAAGGCTGGCCATTCACATCCCCCTAGCCCAACCACAAAAGAAAGGAATAGCAATCTGCTTCTTGTAAGACAATGGCCAGTAAAAGCCTGTGGCTTTTACTTTACAACTCTACTGTGCCACATGTGAGGTGATAATGAATCAGAAGGGCTCAATGGCAATATTTGATTGTTTGCTTTTCCACACCCATAAACATTTCCGCTCTAAATGCTCACCAACTCAATGTCTTTCTAACCAACTCAATGCTTCTCTTTTCTTAGCCAATCACCATGCTCTGCGTACGTTAAAAA